TGCGGATAGACATACAAACAAAAAAAAGTCGATTTTCCTTCCCGAAATCTGGAATATTTCTTTTGATATTACAAACAGACACTCCAATTTTATTATATGAAGATAACCATACATTACTTAAGGGCTACTTAAATAATCTAGCTGTAGCAAATATTCCCTTGTCAAAATTAATTAACTTTTTAATGATAATAAAACACCAGCGGTGCGAATATTTTACTAGAAAATGTTTGAAGTTTTGAATTTCGAATATTCCGTTTTACAATAAAGGTAGATTCAATTTAAATTGCCGGAACTAGCTTTGAAGAGCCTTGCTCTGAAGCAAGACAAGACTCAAAGTCCTCTAGCCGACAATATTTCATAGTAATATTACTTTTAGAGAACCTTTTGTTGTCCTATGAGATATTATTATCGTTTCTATTTCTTTTACTTGTAAATACAGATTATAATGCTTCTTTTTATTCTGTCATGTTAACTCAATTTATTGAATACACTGTAAATATTGAAATAATGTTTTTGTTTTTTTTTTTTTACATTGTTGAACCGAGTAGAAGCCTGAAAGTTTATTGTTTGAAGTAAGAAGTTGAAAATTGTATTATGCATTGTAATGATTTTGTTTCACGTATATCTTAGATGCTAATTATTTAATACATTTTTATGGTAAATGATAAATGAATTTATTTAAAGCTATTAACGTTTTAAGTTAGCTAGATGTAAAAAGATAAGTAAATTTAGTTTTATTTCATATATTATTTCTATATTAACATTTCTACATTTTGTTCGGAGACCGTACTAATATTATAAATGCGAAAGTTTAGATGGATGGATGTTTGTTAGAGTTTGTAGCCTAAATGGCTGAACGGATTTCGATGAAATTTGGTATGGATGCAGAGGACTGTCTTGAAGAACGCTAGCTATTCACTCACTTTTGTTTTTTTATTCCACGCGAACGGAGTCGCGGGCAAAAGCTAGTTCTAAATAAAACATAGTCATAAGTGTGAGAAATTATTTGAAATTATTATTTTGTGAAATATTTATTTAGTTACTTCTCAGAACTTGTCTAAAATGATATTATGAAATTGACGCCTTTGATCACATACTTGAGGCGTTTGCTTTAATGTATTGCGAGAATTGATATTAATATCTGGAGAAAATTACGAATAACTCGAATTTGCAATCAAATGTTATATTTTTTTCATTTTAAATTGTAACTATTTATAGTCTATATTATTATATCGTTATATTATAATTTAATTAACGTATTCGGATGTTCCCTTTTTTTTATTAACATAACACATTTACCAATTTATTTCTTGTGTTTAATATAATTTTTATCTGTTATTTCAATTGTTTTAGAATGTCCATCTCCCGGATAATATGACAGATTGAAAATATTTCACAAAACGCTCTTGTTCGCGTTACAAGAATTTGAAATCGAACCCCAACCCCACAATCCACTGTCAACATTATTGTCGATTATGCAATGATATATTGAAGTATAGATGGAAGATAGAATAAGATAAGAAAGTAATATATTAATTTTAGCGGCAATTCAAGAATTATTAAACGAATATCGTAAATGATAAAAAATTTGATTACACTTTTTAATTTTTTTTTCTATTAGCTTTCGCCGGCGACTCCGTCCGCGTGGAACAAAAATGAGTAGCCTAAGTGTTCTTCCAGCATATCCTCTGCTTCTATGCCAAACTTCATCAAGATCCGTTTAGCCGTTTAGGGTACAAATTTTAACAAACATCCATCCATCTATCCAGGATATGTACTCATTTTCTGTAATTTTATCTGGTCGTAAACTATATGGTCTTTGACCGTAACATACGAGATTATTGTCAATGCTGAATGTATAAAAAGGAAAAGGTATCCCTTTATTTAATTATGTTTATTTACATTTGTTGATTACTATGATGATGACTACAAAGGTAGAGGAAGAACGAAGAAAGTATGGATGGATGTGAAAAAGGATATGCTTAAGAAAGGAGTGGATTCAGATATGACAGCTGATAGAGATGTATGGAAGAGCAGCACATACTGTGCCGACCCTCCGTAGGGATAAGGGTAAGTAGATGATGTTTACTTTGATAACTTTAAACAAAACTTCGATACATAAAAGGTTCGTGTCTGAACGTATACCTTGTTACATATGGTTAAATAGACATGTGTTGGTTGATAAAAAAAATGTAATTATTTATTCAGAAATTGTTTATGTTTTTTAAGTCCCGGATGTTACGAAATTATGAAAAAATAACCAGCGTTTGACAGATCAAAACTAAAGATGTTTATTTTATTTGTCTGGAACCGTAACTGAAGTATTTATTTAACTGCGTGTTATAATTTATCCAACGAACTATTTAATAATTTATGCTTGTAAGTTGATATGTAGAGATACCTTTGGTATTTTAGGTATTAGATTTTGAGATATGAATATAAAGAAAATCTTAAAAAAACATCATTACACTCAAATAGCTTTAGATAAAGATAGATTGGTTTAAATCGTCTTTTAGGCTAACATTCTCTGGTATTTACGTCTTTTCCGAACATCCGTTATATTTTATTCAAAAGTCTATTTCATGTCAACTGTCGCCGGGAAACATAGAATGAAAATCTCAAATATTTTATGAACCTATAGGAAATATAAATATTTATTACACCAAACACATTAATATATTTGTTTGCTTTTTTACAAGGGGATGTTAGTTTATTTTGTCGGCAACATACAGTAACCAGAACACATTAATTCCGCAATTAAACGGTCTGTTTATAACTTTATGTACCACGAGGTTTATGACGTACCTTCTCTTTCAGTTCCTTGTACGATAACAAAGAAAAGTGAAGGTTTCTTACCAGAAAGTAGTAATCGTTTAGTACTACCGCTAAGGCTTAACTTATAACATAATACTATAATAAAATTACGGCTTCCACCGCGGAACGAATTTCGCTGTATGATATAGAGATGAAGTTAAAATACTGACTGACTGTATCTTCACTTCATCATCATCATAACCTTTCTGCTCATTGCTGGATACCTTTTCCAGTGCCTTCTTCAGAATGCTTACTTCCGCATTCTATCTATTTGTAATTTCATTTCATAGATTCAACATCATTAACTTGCCCTTATCCCTACAGAGGGTCGACACAGTATGTACTGCTCCATACATTTCTATCAGCCGTCATATCTGAATCCACTTCCTTCAAACCATATCGTCTTTCACACAATCTATCTATACCTTCTTCGGTCTTCCTCTTCCTTTGTAGTCATCCACATTCAATCTTATTCTTTCTGGTTTATGTCCCATGTCGTCGTCACATGTCTATACCAGGTCATCGTCTTGTCACATGTCTATACCAGGTTACTAAATATTTCATAGATTACAATACATAAATTACGTTTCATAATCCCCATTGAAACCAATAAAAACTATAAAGCGTTAATACTTAGTGATTATATTTTAGAATCAAACACAGTAAAGCAATAAAAGTAATAAATATTACGAAAAAAGGCGAATATAAAATGTCAGTAGAATAGGCGACAATTCGAGTAAAAGCAATTTCATTCAATAGAAACCATTGTAAGGACACAATATATCGAAGTAAGAAAATGAATATCGCCTTTGTCATAGAACATTTAACCACAGTCATATTTCATACTAATATTAAAAATGCTAAAGTATGTATATATTTATTACTATCTATTTTCAAAACAAGTTCAACAGATCTCAAATTTGCCACAAAGGTGCACCTTACTACTAAGGCTTACTATTTTTTTTTAATTCAACGCAATTAAGGTAAGAAGTAAAAGGTTATCATGGTATAGGCATGTTATGAAGAGGAATGAATCGCATGTTACAAGGAGAACGTAAGTAATGAGTGTGGAGGTACATCGGTAGAGGAAGACCTAGAAAGAGATTGATGGATTTAATGAAAGGTGACATGATCAAAGAGGGAGTGATGACTGAAATGACGTAAGATAGAGTTATGTGGAGGACAGAAACCTGTTGCGCCGACCCTATAGGAGTAGGATTAGGAGTAAGATGATGAGACGAAGTCGAGGGCGACAGCTATTATGTGTGAGGTTTAAAATTTACGCACATGTTTTGGTAAACATAAATAAACCTATATACTTACTTGTTTATTAAATTACTAATTATTTTATTGAATATTAAACATCTTTGATTATCACTTCATATTGTTTTGCACTTGACATAAAATAGTTTACTTATCACTGCACTATAGTAAACAAATATTATCTTTATTAGAATTTAATATTTACTAGATATAAACTACATTATATTTTACGTTTAATGTTCACTCGACGGACTCGTATCACGGAGTGAGTCTAAAACGTTCAATCGATCTCTTGCGCAGATTTAGAGTGCGTTCTCGTATTAAATTTAGTACCATGTTATAAAATGTTTTCAACATCAGGCTTATAGTTGAATTTTGCCGAACGAACGATATTTGGATTTGTTGGAAGTAGGTATAATTTTGATTCTCTGCAGAAGAAATGTTGTTCTACAGTGAATGGTTATTCATTAAAAGGATTTTGTACATATTTACAGCATAAAGGACAAACAAGATTTATCCACAGGAAATACGCTAAAATGGCGAAACAATCCCTGTCTTATAATTATAATTTCACTATCATACTTTCAATTTTATTTGTATTAACTTACAATTACTAGTGGTCTCCCGTGATGCTGTCCACACGGAATTAAAAATAAATTTACTAATTGTTTTTCCAGACTTCTACATTCGCGCTAAATTTAATCAAGATCCGTTTAGCAGGCTGCAAATTCTAACATCCATCTATCTAAACTTTTGCATTGCATTATTGATTTATTTAGAAAACAAGAGAACTACAGAAATGCGATAAAATAATTCATCTCATGACAACCTCGTGTTCCGAATTTAATAACAAATAAAATGGATTATCAGAGTATATACGATAAGCGTTATCGTAAAGTTGTGTTAATAATAGAATTTAAAGTCGATAAGAATGTGATAAATTTAGATTGATTAGATAAACTACAAAGTCGATGAATCTTCAATCTTCTCGACCAAAGTTTTCGCATGTGTAATAAAACGTCGACAATAGAATCTTATTTGAAACATTTTATTATAATAATACCATTGTTGCCCGTGCACACGTTCGTAAGTTAATTTTATCATTCACTTATAATTACTTAAAAGTATTGTTTATTTACATAGTTAATAATGTTAAGGTTTTGGTGTTTATGTAGTCCCTTGAGCCTTTTTTTTTAATTCATCGCCGCATCACTAATAACATTTATTTACAAAATGATAAAAGATCTGGAATTCATGCAATTTTATTTAATACTAGCTGTTCTTGTGCAACTTCATCCGCATGAAATTGTGAAAATTTTATTTTATTGTTTACATTTGTCAAATTATCAATTACAAATGTCAAAATGACATGATGACAACCTTCCTTTCTCGATGTTGGCAGCAACTTATGGTCTCTTTCCCACATTATGGTTTTTATCCAAAATATTTACCCCCTAAGTTTAAAGCGTAAAAGATATAGCCTAAAGCGTGACGCAAGTGTAAGGCTTTTTATTAAAAAAAATAATTATTCAAAAACATGCTGTAATTGCTGACATGTTAGACAACAAAGAAGTGTGTGTTTACGCTTTATTATAATAGTAGTAACTTGAATTTCTAATTGCGATATTAATTTGAAACATTTCACAAGTGCACATTTAAAAATAATTTCTAATATGCAATTTACCTTTGTAGTGACCTATATCTCCCAGGTAACACGTAAATACTGTAATTTATTCTCGTTTCCGTGAAAACTGTACGGATTAACGTTTTTAATCTTCGAGTCTAGAATAATTACAACTTTTAGTTTTTTTAATTTCTACTTTACGTGCCTTAATTAACATTTTACTACACATATTTCAGGTTTTTGTCTCAATTTTAGTACTAAAAATTATTACATATCAGATTTTATTTGTACATTTTTTTGGAATGTATTTTAGCATTGTATTGTCTTCTATCTTAAAGAGTGCTTTACAATAAAACACCATAATCAAGATTTTTAAATGGTTTTATTTGACTCACTCTATTTGTTTTGGATTTCAATAATGTTTAGATCCAATTCCTGTTAATAGAAACATTTGAAATTTACACATCTTTAGTTCTGATGACAACAATATGTATAAAATCACAGTTTGTTTTTTTTTATGGCGAAGTTTCTAAAATTTATGACATGAACTTTAGAAATTAGATATTTTTTTAATCTTCTATTGATATGGAAAATACACTGAAACTTAGTTTAACAAGGTGTAAAATAGATGCAGCAATTATCTTACTAACTAACTGACACTCTTAATTGTCAGACTTGAACAGTGGTAGAGCCCGCTTTAACATATTACTACCAATACCACGACCCTACAGAAGACAGGCGTCAAGTGGGAGCAATTCCGCGTGTCGTCTGATAAGTGTAGTAATAATAATAATAATCCCTTTTTTCCCACACTTTTTCTCATAAGAATAGGATGGAAGACGTGGATTTAACGGTGGAGGAGACGCATAGGAAGAGAAAATATCCTCTTTGTGTGCATCTCCTCCTCCGTCGATTAAGGGTAGGCAACGCATCCGCAATTGTGAATGTCTAAAGGCAGCGGTCGCTTCGCCACTTTGGCGGATTTAAGTGGCCGCTCATTCGTTTGCCACCTTGTAATATATAAAAGACTTTCTGCCTTGACTCTACACGTGTATTGCCTCTTTTTTAATATTTTCTTGTTCAAAGCATAAATCTACGTAGATCTTTTTTCATTCCGTCGTATTACGGTGCACCGTTTCGCCCATACATCACTGTCTGAGGACACAATATACTTGTTTCATGGCATTTTAAACAGATTGTCTGAACATTACTCACTCTTGATACTGCAAAAGATCTTTTTTCGAAACAATTTTTTTTATTGAATTAGTTATTTGAGTCAATTTTTAATACTTAAATTACTTCAGAATTATGAACTAAAAATAATGAATTTACACACATAATGTACGTACGTATGTATGATATAATATTTACAAATAAGTTGTCATTTCTATATTATAAAAATATTACCTTAAAATACAAGAAAACACCAACTAATAACTTTACATGGCTTTAATAAATCGAATGTAAATTGCTTCAGTATTACTTAGGGCAGACCTTTATTTAACATAAGTTTTAGGGTCACAGTACCCTTATAATATAGTTAAGTCATTAATCGTCGTTAAATGAGTCAAAGTCGAACCTCCGATAGCTTAATGGTTTCGCACCAAACTTTAAGACCAAGATTCCTATCCATTTAAATATTAATACAGCTTAAACCACTTTTCATGTTCATCTATACTATTATAATAAAGCGTAAACACACACTTCTTTGTTGCCTAAGATGTCAGCAATCACAGCATATTTTCGAATAACACTTTTTTTAATAAAGAGCCCTACACTTACGTACCGCTTTGGGCTATATATTTTCCCGCCGTCAAACTTAGGGTAAATATCTTGGATACAAAACCTAATGTGGGAAAGAGACCATAAGTTGTTGGCAACATTAAGAAAGTAACATGGTTTGACGTCATGTCATTTTGACATTTGCAGTTGATAATTAGACAAATGTAAACAATAAAATGAAATTTTCATAATTTCATGCGGATGAAGCCGCACGGGAACAGCTATTACTTACTAATATTATAAATGTGAAAGTTTAGATGGATGTATCTTTCGACTGCATCGTCACCTCCTTCAGGTGCGATCGTGGTCAAGCGCTAGCTTAACAAATAATAAAATAAAAAAAAAATGTATGTTTGTTAGTGTTTGGCGCCTTAACGGCCAATTTGGTATAGATTTAGAAAAATCTGGAAGAACACATATGCTACTCACTTTTTAATTTTTCGGACGGAGTCGTAGACGAAAGCTAGTATGTAACTAAAGGTTATAGGTTTTACAAACTTTTTTTATATTGAACAAGTTTGAGTAAGTCGAACTCAATTTTTGTCATAACTTTCCGAGTCCCAATGTTGTGAGGCGACATATGTCAAAAAGGTTGACTACACCCGTCGCTCCGGAATTAATAAAGACAATTTTTTTTCTATTCTATCAAAAAAACAAAGTCTAATATTTGAAAATATTAACGAAAATGGCAATCTTAATAATATAAGTATAAGGGCCTGTCCCACCAAATCGTAAATTGATATAACAATCGAACTTGTAAAAAATGTGATAAAAATATCGGATTTAATCTGATAGTGCCATCATTTTTAAGCTATCTGAGCCTATATCAACCATTGGTGGGACAGGCCCAAAAATTTTGTAAAAGTCAACCTGAATAATATAATTTATATTGTTTTAACTCAATTTACTAAAACTTTTTCCAATATTTATTTAAAAATATTGGATATATTCAAATTTGCTTAAGCGTAAATCTATTTCATAGGTTTACTACTACTAGTTTACTTACTATTTGATAATGTTTGATTTACTTGAATAGAAAATGTTTGTATATTTGATCAGAGGTGCAAATACATTATTTCGAATGGAGATTTGTAAGGATTTTGTAAAATATATACCAATAGTAAAGATTAGATTAATGGTAGCAATGAAATAAAAGTGTTAACGGAAAGTAATAAAAATGATAAAGATTTCTTTTTATATATTTGGTGGTAAATTCAGAGAATATCCCTAATTTTTCTACAGTTGTGTAGCTTGTTAAATATATTTCGTGCCAAAAGAAAACTTTTTTTTCAGCTGATATAAATTATGGTACGTTGAAAGGATGTCTATTAAGGCGATTACCTTAATCTTCGGTTTTATTTACGATTTATTTCAAGCTGAAATTGTATGTAATTTTTGTAGAAAACAGTTCATTTATTACATTAGAAAAGACTGTAGATAATAATCTATAAGTTTCGACTTTAATTCTTTCATTTTAGAGTTTTAATTTAATTAATGTTGATTAATTTTAACACGAATGGATATGATACGATATGAGTATATTAGAGGAAGTTTAAGAGTAGCCCCCGTAGTAGAGAAGTTAAGGAGTAAAAGGTTAGCATGGTATGGGCATGTTATGAGGAGGGATGAATCGCATGTTACAAGAACGTTATGAGTGTGGAAGGGTACATCAGTAGAGGTAGACCTAGAAAGATATGGATGGATTGTGTAAAAGGTGACATGATCAAAAAGGGAGTGATGACTGAGATGACGTATGATAGAGTTATGTGGAGGACAAAAACCTGATGCGCCGACCCTACGGGAGTAGGATAAGGAGATGATGATGATGATGATGATG